CATCCGAGCCTATAAAACTCGTCAGACAAGAATACACTCTGGACCTTTACATGAAGAAACGTTGTTTGTCGTTCGTTGCAACATCTCCTCGTCCAAGATGTCTTCTGTCACCGGTGAGGGTGCTTGTTCTAGTTCGTCTGTAGGCTCAGACGAGCACATCCTATCGGGATCATGGATTGTGGAACCAAGTTCAATATTGGCCACTGAGCAGTTGGATGTTGAAGAGTGGACCTGGGAGAATTTAGCTGAGGAAATAAAGGATAACAGTTCATTGCTGCGCTTCTTGGCTAGACGGAACGTTATTCAGAATGAATCGGAATGCACCAGGTGTAACCGCTCTGCCAGTCTCAGAAGACTTGCCAGCCTGCGCGATAAGTATAGATGGAGATGCCCTGGCTGCGCAAAGTATTGGAGCATTCGGACCGGGTCACGTCTTCCCAATCAACCAGGAAGTCTTTTTGAAAATGCATCAGTCTTCTATCGCCTGTTTGACCTACCATCAGCTGACAAACTGGACGACCTTTCCCGATTGAGCACCAACGTAAGTCGTCAACTTGTATCTACCATCATCATCCTTTGCTATATACGGCTGGAAAATCATTTAAAGCTTGGTGGCACACTTGCCGTGTTTGTCAATCTGTATACGCCTGAGGGGACCGATGACACCTTTTTCATAGCTGTGGAGGAGTCTACTAATTTGGCAGTGACAGTAGGGGCGAGCACAGTAGACAATGCTTGTAGGAAATTGGAAAACTGGTGTGCACCTGGATCCACTATCGTTTTGAAATATTCCTCAATCGATGGTTCATCACTGGACAGAAGTAGATATGAATATGTGAATGTTGATGGGGAGCCGGAACCATCGAAAGTGCTTAAGAAAGGATACAAGGATGCCATTGAGAGTTTTGCGAAAGATGTAGATAGAACCAAAAGTAGACTCACAACAATTGGATCACAAATGCTCCGTATGGGAACCATCCAAGTATCTTTCGTTGTTCAGCTGCAAAGGTATTATTCATATAATTCACAAACTACCCAGCAAAAAATCCATGTGGACGCTTCATCTGCTGTGTCAACACAGACAGTAGAGACTACACCAAGGCAGAGTTGATGAGGATTATGGTGCATACATCTATTATTATGTTTTTAGAAACTTTGTACTGAAAAGTCTTGTCTGAATTCTCACCTTTGACACTGTATATTTTGATGACGCGTTCAGAATTATTTGTCCATCATACTTTTCGTTTTTTATTTTTCTGAATGTTGTTTTGGTGTTAGTTTTGCTTTTGATTTATACAATTTTTTTGTTTTATTTTGTCTATTTTCTGCCTCTGCTGAGTTTAGTGATTGAGTTCGTTCCGTCCAAAGTGGTTTTTTATAGTATATTATGCAGCCATTGATAGGCCTTCACCACGTCGGACCACCTTGCCTGCCCGTCGTAGGTGTTCTTTTTCGTCAGTCAAATTGCCTCCTTGTTGTTGTTGTTGTTGTTGTTGTTGTTGTTGTTGTTGTTGTTGTTGTTGTTGTTGTTGTTGTTGTTGTTGTTGTTGTTGTTGTTGTTGTTGTTGTTGTTGTTGTTGTTGTTGTTGTTGTTGTTGTTGTTGTTGTTGTTGTTGTTGTTGTTGTTGTTGTTGTTGTTGTTGTTGTTGTTGTTGTTGTTGTTGTTGTTGTTGTTGTTGTTGTTGTTGTTGTTGTTGTTGTTGTTGTTGTTGTTGTTGTTGTTGTTGTTGTTGTTGTTGTTGTTGTTGTTGTTGTTGTTGTTGTTGTTGTTGTTGTTGTTGTTGTTGTTGTTGTTGTTGTTGTTGTTGTTGTTGTTGTTGTTGTTGTTGTTGTTGTTGTTGTTGTTGTTGTTGTTGTTGTTGTTGTTGTTGTTGTTGTTGTTGTTGTTGTTGTTGTTGTTGTTGTTGTTGTTGTTGTTGTTGTTGTTGTTGTTGTTGTTGTTGTTGTTGTTGTTGTTGTTGTTGTTGTTGTTGTTGTTGTTGTTGTTGTTGTTGTTGTTGTTGTTGTTGTTGTTGTTGTTGTTGTTGTTGTTGTTGTTGTTGTTGTTGTTGTTGTTGTTGTTGTTGTTGTTGTTGTTGTTGTTGTTGTTGTTGTTGTTGTTGTTGTTGTTGTTGTTGTTGTTGTTGTTGTTGTTGTTGTTGTTGTTGTTGTTGTTGTTGTTGTTGTTGTTGTTGTTGTTGTTGTTGTTGTTGTTGTTGTTGTTGTTGTTGTTGTTGTTGTTGTTGTTGTTGTTGTTGTTGTTGTTGTTGTTGTTGTTGTTGTTGTTGTTGTTGTTGTTGTTGTTGTTGTTGTTGTTGTTGTTGTTGTTGTTGTTGTTGTTGTTGTTGTTGTTGTTGTTGTTGTTGTTGTTGTTGTTGTTGTTGTTGTTGTTGTTGTTGTTGTTGTTGTTGTTGTTGTTGTTGTTGTTGTTGTTGTTGTTGTTGTTGTTGTTGTTGTTGTTGTTGTTGTTGTTGTTGTTGTTGTTGTTGTTGTTGTTGTTGTTGTTGTTGTTGTTGTTGTTGTTGTTGTTGTTGTTGTTGTTGTTGTTGTTGTTGTTGTTGTTGTTGTTGTTGTTGTTGTTGTTGTTGTTGTTGTTGTTGTTGTTGTTGTTGTTGTTGTTGTTGTTGTTGTTGTTGTTGTTGTTGTTGTTGTTGTTGTTGTTGTTGTTGTTGTTGTTGTTGTTGTTGTTGTTGTTGTTGTTGTTGTTGTTGTTGTTGTTGTTGTTGTTGTTGTTGTTGTTGTTGTTGTTGTTGTTGTTGTTGTTGTTGTTGTTGTTGTTGTTGTTGTTGTTGTTGTTGTTGTTGTTGTTGTTGTTGTTGTTGTTGTTGTTGTTGTTGTTGTTGTTGTTGTTGTTGTTGTTGTTGTTGTTGTTGTTGTTGTTGTTGTTGTTGTTGTTGTTGTTGTTGTTGTTGTTGTTGTTGTTGTTGTTGTTGTTGTTGTTGTTGTTGTTGTTGTTGTTGTTGTTGTTGTTGTTGTTGTTGTTGTTGTTGTTGTTGTTGTTGTTGTTGTTGTTGTTGTTGTTGTTGTTGTTGTTGTTGTTGTTGTTGTTGTTGTTGTTGTTGTTGTTGTTGTTGTTGTTGTTGTTGTTGTTGTTGTTGTTGTTGTTGTTGTTGTTGTTGTTGTTGTTGTTGTTGTTGTTGTTGTTGTTGTTGTTGTTGTTGTTGTTGTTGTTGTTGTTGTTGTTGTTGTTGTTGTTGTTGTTGTTGTTGTTGTTGTTGTTGTTGTTGTTGTTGTTGTTGTTGTTGTTGTTGTTGTTGTTGTTGTTGTTGTTGTTGTTGTTGTTGTTGTTGTTGTTGTTGTTGTTGTTGTTGTTGTTGTTGTTGTTGTTGTTGTTGTTGTTGTTGTTGTTGTTGTTGTTGTTGTTGTTGTTGTTGTTGTTGTTGTTGTTGTTGTTGTTGTTGTTGTTGTTGTTGTTGTTGTTGTTGTTGTTGTTGTTGTTGTTGTTGTTGTTGTTGTTGTTGTTGTTGTTGTTGTTGTTGTTGTTGTTGTTGTTGTTGTTGTTGTTGTTGTTGTTGTTGTTGTTGTTGTTGTTGTTGTTGTTGTTGTTGTTGTTGTTGTTGTTGTTGTTGTTGTTGTTGTTGTTGTTGTTGTTGTTGTTGTTGTTGTTGTTGTTGTTGTTGTTGTTGTTGTTGTTGTTGTTGTTGTTGTTGTTGTTGTTGTTGTTGTTGTTGTTGTTGTTGTTGTTGTTGTTGTTGTTGTTGTTGTTGTTGTTGTTGTTGTTGTTGTTGTTGTTGTTGTTGTTGTTGTTGTTGTTGTTGTTGTTGTTGTTGTTGTTGTTGTTGTTGTTGTTGTTGTTGTTGTTGTTGTTGTTGTTGTTGTTGTTGTTGTTGTTGTTGTTGTTGTTGTTGTTGTTGTTGTTGTTGTTGTTGTTGTTGTTGTTGTTGTTGTTGTTGTTGTTGTTGTTGTTGTTGTTGTTGTTGTTGTTGTTGTTGTTGTTGTTGTTGTTGTTGTTGTTGTTGTTGTTGTTGTTGTTGTTGTTGTTGTTGTTGTTGTTGTTGTTGTTGTTGTTGTTGTTGTTGTTGTTGTTGTTGTTGTTGTTGTTGTTGTTGTTGTTGTTGTTGTTGTTGTTGTTGTTGTTGTTGTTGTTGTTGTTGTTGTTGTTGTTGTTGTTGTTGTTGTTGTTGTTGTTGTTGTTGTTGTTGTTGTTGTTGTTGTTGTTGTTGTTGTTGTTGTTGTTGTTGTTGTTGTTGTTGTTGTTGTTGTTGTTGTTGTTGTTGTTGTTGTTGTTGTTGTTGTTGTTGTTGTTGTTGTTGTTGTTGTTGTTGTTGTTGTTGTTGTTGTTGTTGTTGTTGTTGTTGTTGTTGTTGTTGTTGTTGTTGTTGTTGTTGTTGTTGTTGTTGTTGTTGTTGTTGTTGTTGTTGTTGTTGTTGTTGTTGTTGTTGTTGTTGTTGTTGTTGTTGTTGTTGTTGTTGTTGTTGTTGTTGTTGTTGTTGTTGTTGTTGTTGTTGTTGTTGTTGTTGTTGTTGTTGTTGTTGTTGTTGTTGTTGTTGTTGTTGTTGTTGTTGTTGTTGTTGTTGTTGTTGTTGTTGTTGTTGTTGTTGTTGTTGTTGTTGTTGTTGTTGTTGTTGTTGTTGTTGTTGTTGTTGTTGTTGTTGTTGTTGTTGTTGTTGTTGTTGTTGTTGTTGTTGTTGTTGTTGTTGTTGTTGTTGTTGTTGTTGTTGTTGTTGTTGTTGTTGTTGTTGTTGTTGTTGTTGTTGTTGTTGTTGTTGTTGTTGTTGTTGTTGTTGTTGTTGTTGTTGTTGTTGTTGTTGTTGTTGTTGTTGTTGTTGTTGTTGTTGTTGTTGTTGTTGTTGTTGTTGTTGTTGTTGTTGTTGTTGTTGTTGTTGTTGTTGTTGTTGTTGTTGTTGTTGTTGTTGTTGTTGTTGTTGTTGTTGTTGTTGTTGTTGTTGTTGTTGTTGTTGTTGTTGTTGTTGTTGTTGTTGTTGTTGTTGTTGTTGTTGTTGTTGTTGTTGTTGTTGTTGTTGTTGTTGTTGTTGTTGTTGTTGTTGTTGTTGTTGTTGTTGTTGTTGTTGTTGTTGTTGTTGTTGTTGTTGTTGTTGTTGTTGTTGTTGTTGTTGTTGTTGTTGTTGTTGTTGTTGTTGTTGTTGTTGTTGTTGTTGTTGTTGTTGTTGTTGTTGTTGTTGTTGTTGTTGTTGTTGTTGTTGTTGTTGTTGTTGTTGTTGTTGTTGTTGTTGTTGTTGTTGTTGTTGTTGTTGTTGTTGTTGTTGTTGTTGTTGTTGTTGTTGTTGTTGTTGTTGTTGTTGTTGTTGTTGTTGTTGTTGTTGTTGTTGTTGTTGTTGTTGTTGTTGTTGTTGTTGTTGTTGTTGTTGTTGTTGTTGTTGTTGTTGTTGTTGTTGTTGTTGTTGTTGTTGTTGTTGTTGTTGTTGTTGTTGTTGTTGTTGTTGTTGTTGTTGTTGTTGTTGTTGTTGTTGTTGTTGTTGTTGTTGTTGTTGTTGTTGTTGTTGTTGTTGTTGTTGTTGTTGTTGTTGTTGTTGTTGTTGTTGTTGTTGTTGTTGTTGTTGTTGTTGTTGTTGTTGTTGTTGTTGTTGTTGTTGTTGTTGTTGTTGTTGTTGTTGTTGTTGTTGTTGTTGTTGTTGTTGTTGTTGTTGTTGTTGTTGTTGTTGTTGTTGTTGTTGTTGTTGTTGTTGTTGTTGTTGTTGTTGTTGTTGTTGTTGTTGTTGTTGTTGTTGTTGTTGTTGTTGTTGTTGTTGTTGTTGTTGTTGTTGTTGTTGTTGTTGTTGTTGTTGTTGTTGTTGTTGTTGTTGTTGTTGTTGTTGTTGTTGTTGTTGTTGTTGTTGTTGTTGTTGTTGTTGTTGTTGTTGTTGTTGTTGTTGTTGTTGTTGTTGTTGTTGTTGTTGTTGTTGTTGTTGTTGTTGTTGTTGTTGTTGTTGTTGTTGTTGTTGTTGTTGTTGTTGTTGTTGTTGTTGTTGTTGTTGTTGTTGTTGTTGTTGTTGTTGTTGTTGTTGTTGTTGTTGTTGTTGTTGTTGTTGTTGTTGTTGTTGTTGTTGTTGTTGTTGTTGTTGTTGTTGTTGTTGTTGTTGTTGTTGTTGTTGTTGTTGTTGTTGTTGTTGTTGTTGTTGTTGTTGTTGTTGTTGTTGTTGTTGTTGTTGTTGTTGTTGTTGTTGTTGTTGTTGTTGTTGTTGTTGTTGTTGTTGTTGTTGTTGTTGTTGTTGTTGTTGTTGTTGTTGTTGTTGTTGTTGTTGTTGTTGTTGTTGTTGTTGTTGTTGTTGTTGTTGTTGTTGTTGTTGTTGTTGTTGTTGTTGTTGTTGTTGTTGTTGTTGTTGTTGTTGTTGTTGTTGTTGTTGTTGTTGTTGTTGTTGTTGTTGTTGTTGTTGTTGTTGTTGTTGTTGTTGTTGTTGTTGTTGTTGTTGTTGTTGTTGTTGTTGTTGTTGTTGTTGTTGTTGTTGTTGTTGTTGTTGTTGTTGTTGTTGTTGTTGTTGTTGTTGTTGTTGTTGTTGTTGTTGTTGTTGTTGTTGTTGTTGTTGTTGTTGTTGTTGTTGTTGTTGTTGTTGTTGTTGTTGTTGTTGTTGTTGTTGTTGTTGTTGTTGTTGTTGTTGTTGTTGTTGTTGTTGTTGTTGTTGTTGTTGTTGTTGTTGTTGTTGTTGTTGTTGTTGTTGTTGTTGTTGTTGTTGTTGTTGTTGTTGTTGTTGTTGTTGTTGTTGTTGTTGTTGTTGTTGTTGTTGTTGTTGTTGTTGTTGTTGTTGTTGTTGTTGTTGTTGTTGTTGTTGTTGTTGTTGTTGTTGTTGTTGTTGTTGTTGTTGTTGTTGTTGTTGTTGTTGTTGTTGTTGTTGTTGTTGTTGTTGTTGTTGTTGTTGTTGTTGTTGTTGTTGTTGTTGTTGTTGTTGTTGTTGTTGTTGTTGTTGTTGTTGTTGTTGTTGTTGTTGTTGTTGTTGTTGTTGTTGTTGTTGTTGTTGTTGTTGTTGTTGTTGTTGTTGTTGTTGTTGTTGTTGTTGTTGTTGTTGTTGTTGTTGTTGTTGTTGTTGTTGTTGTTGTTGTTGTTGTTGTTGTTGTTGTTGTTGTTGTTGTTGTTGTTGTTGTTGTTGTTGTTGTTGTTGTTGTTGTTGTTGTTGTTGTTGTTGTTGTTGTTGTTGTTGTTGTTGTTGTTGTTGTTGTTGTTGTTGTTGTTGTTGTTGTTGTTGTTGTTGTTGTTGTTGTTGTTGTTGTTGTTGTTGTTGTTGTTGTTGTTGTTGTTGTTGTTGTTGTTGTTGTTGTTGTTGTTGTTGTTGTTGTTGTTGTTGTTGTTGTTGTTGTTGTTGTTGTTGTTGTTGTTGTTGTTGTTGTTGTTGTTGTTGTTGTTGTTGTTGTTGTTGTTGTTGTTGTTGTTGTTGTTGTTGTTGTTGTTGTTGTTGTTGTTGTTGTTGTTGTTGTTGTTGTTGTTGTTGTTGTTGTTGTTGTTGTTGTTGTTGTTGTTGTTGTTGTTGTTGTTGTTGTTGTTGTTGTTGTTGTTGTTGTTGTTGTTGTTGTTGTTGTTGTTGTTGTTGTTGTTGTTGTTGTTGTTGTTGTTGTTGTTGTTGTTGTTGTTGTTGTTGTTGTTGTTGTTGTTGTTGTTGTTGTTGTTGTTGTTGTTGTTGTTGTTGTTGTTGTTGTTGTTGTTGTTGTTGTTGTTGTTGTTGTTGTTGTTGTTGTTGTTGTTGTTGTTGTTGTTGTTGTTGTTGTTGTTGTTGTTGTTGTTGTTGTTGTTGTTGTTGTTGTTGTTGTTGTTGTTGTTGTTGTTGTTGTTGTTGTTGTTGTTGTTGTTGTTGTTGTTGTTGTTGTTGTTGTTGTTGTTGTTGTTGTTGTTGTTGTTGTTGTTGTTGTTGTTGTTGTTGTTGTTGTTGTTGTTGTTGTTGTTGTTGTTGTTGTTGTTGTTGTTGTTGTTGTTGTTGTTGTTGTTGTTGTTGTTGTTGTTGTTGTTGTTGTTGTTGTTGTTGTTGTTGTTGTTGTTGTTGTTGTTGTTGTTGTTGTTGTTGTTGTTGTTGTTGTTGTTGTTGTTGTTGTTGTTGTTGTTGTTGTTGTTGTTGTTTTATGAAGGTGTTTATGAATTTCATCCTTCCGTAATTAACAATTAGCAAAGAAACCTGATAACAAAAGTTCGCCTGTGCAAGGGATAACAGTCAAAGTTGCGCATGAAGTGAGCATTGTTCTGAATACATGTACATGTAGATTGTAAATGCAAAATAATTAACCAAATTAATGAGCAATATCTTCAGGACTGGGCACAAGTACTAAAACGTGCAAGGGATAATGATCAACCTTGCGAGTTCGAGAAAAAGCATGCGGACTCCAAAACATTGGCAAAAGAATTCAACTTGCGCAAAGAAGAAGAATAGAAATGAAACAACAAAACAAAAAAACCAAGAGAGAGGATGAACGGCAACAGAGCAGAAATTGAAGAACAAATCTGGGACATCATCAAGCACAGGCACTTAAGAAAAGGCAAAATGACTCGTGTCAAACTGGCACCAGCAATTCATGCTTCAGCGCGTCGCTGGTGTGTTGGCAAAAAATCACTTTCCTTCAACTACCATGTAACATCATGACGGAGCCAGGGACTAGTGTACAGCCAAGCTTACAGAGGATCCGTCTCCTGGCGCCATCTGTAGGCCACACAGAGGGGCTTAGGCTAGTATAAGAAATATTAGCAATTACTCTGTACCTTCTAGGAGATAGACGAGAAGACCAAAGCAGCCTGCGTATCAGGAGGTCCCGAGATCGAGACCCAGCGTTTGGTAGCAGGGAGCGTGTGAAAAGTGCTCCGAAACACGGTGGTGCGCTCCTATCTCGTCAAACGACTACCAATGACCAAATGTGATAGCCAAGTGTCGGAACCAGACTGTTTGTCTAAAGTCGATGCGCTGGTGATTTTGTCTGTTTTTTATTTACGAGAGAGCTTGGAAGCTCAGGGCCCTACGCTATGCTTTTTTGCCTTGTTGACCTAGACAAAAAAAAAGCATAGGGATGTTATAAATTCTTTCAAAAATTCCTTTTTTTTAGACATAACCTGGGATTCGAACCCGCACTATCGCGCGCCCTGCATTCATCCCCCGATGCACTTCGCATACATACTAATTCTTCCAAGTTGTTTCACATTGTGATCTTGCATTTGAAAGCCCTATTTGAGTTATATGCATTGTGGCCAGCCGTCTTTGATGGCACGGTACGGTAGGGGATAGGTACGGGACAGGTACGATCGAGGGTAATACGACACCGTCTCCCGTACCGTACCGTACCATCAAACACAGCTGGCCACATACAGCTTCCCGCAATATTCAAATAGGGCTTTCAAACGCAAGATAATAACGTAACGCAACTTGGAAGAATGGGTATGAATGCGAAGTGTATGGGGGAATGCATGTAGGGCGATAGTGCGGGTTCGAATCCCAGGATATGCCTGAAAAAAAGGAGAATTGAAAAATTTATAACATCCTATGCTTTTTTGCCGTCAGATACGGATAGCGCCAGGCGTGACACAAACAAACAAACACACAAACAAACACCAAATTAAAGCTGTGTGGACCCTGGCTAGCGCCAGACGTTACTGAAGTAACGTCTTCTGCATAGCTACGGGAATTAAAGTTCGTTGCCACAGTCGAACAATGTACAACGTCAAAGGGGGTAGGAAAAAACTGAGGGTCACCAGAAAGGGAAACCAAATAGTGATGGGTTTAGAAGTGATAGTTTCTTGTGTATTTTGCGCCTTGGTTGCTAATTGATTTCATTGTTTTTAAATTGTGACTTGAGGCTGACAGAAGAAATAATCAGGAAGAAACAGAAGCGAGAAAGAGAAAGAGATCGAGATGGTGTTACTGAAATACATCCCACTCGAAGTGTTCATCACATTGTTTTCTTTGGGGTTACACGCATTTTTTCTTGTTGTTGTTGTTGTTGTTGTTGTTGTTGTTGTTGTTGTTGTTGTTGTTGTTGTTGTTGTTGTTGTTGTTGTTGTTGTTGTTGTTGTTGTTGTTGTTGTTGTTGTTGTTGTTGTTGTTGTTGTTGTTGTTGTTGTTGTTGTTGTTGTTGTTGTTGTTGTTGTTGTTGTTGTTGTTGTTGTTGTTGTTGTTGTTGCTGCTGCTGCTGCTGTTGTTGTTGTTGTTGTTGTTGTTGTTGTTGTTGTTGTTGTTGTTGTTGTTGTTGTTGTTGTTGTTGTTGTTGTTGTTGTTGTTGTTGTTGTTGTTGTTGTTGTTGTTGTTGTTGTTGTTGTTGTTGTTGTTGTTGTTGTTGTTGTTGTTGTTGTTGTTGTTGTTGTTGTTGTTGTTGTTGTTGTTGTTGTTGTTGTTGTTGTTGTTGTTGTTGTTGTTGTTGTTGTTGTTGTTGTTGTTGTTGTTGTTGTTGTTGTTGTTGTTGTTGTTGTTGTTGTTGTTGTTGTTGTTGTTTTATGAAGGTGTTTATGAATTTCATCCTTCCGTAATTAACAATTAGCAAAGAAACCTGATAACAAAAGTTCGCCTGTGCAAGGGATAACAGTCAAAGTTGCGCATGAAGTGAGCATTGTTCTGAATACATGTACATGTAGATTGTAAATGCAAAATAATTAACCAAATTAATGAGCAATATCTTCAGGACTGGGCACAAGTACTAAAACGTGCAAGGGATAATGATCAACCTTGCGAGTTCGAGAAAAAGCATGCGGACTCCAAAACATTGGCAAAAGAATTCAACTTGCGCAAAGAAGAAGAATAGAAATGAAACAACAAAACAAAAAAACCAAGAGAGAGGATGAACGGCAACAGAGCAGAAATTGAAGAACAAATCTGGGACATCATCAAGCACAGGCACTTAAGAAAAGGCAAAATGACTCGTGTCAAACTGGCACCAGCAATTCATGCTTCAGCGCGTCGCTGGTGTGTTGGCAAAAAATCACTTTCCTTCAACTACCATGTAACATCATGACGGAGCCAGGGACTAGTGTACAGCCAAGCTTACAGAGGATCCGTCTCCTGGCGCCATCTGTAGGCCACACAGAGGGGCTTAGGCTAGTATAAGAAATATTAGCAATTACTCTGTACCTTCTAGGAGATAGACGAGAAGACCAAAGCAGCCTGCGTATCAGGAGGTCCCGAGATCGAGACCCAGCGTTTGGTAGCAGGGAGCGTGTGAAAAGTGCTCCGAAACACGGTGGTGCGCTCCTATCTCGTCAAACGACTACCAATGACCAAATGTGATAGCCAAGTGTCGGAACCAGACTGTTTGT